ACGGTTTGGAATTCTGGGAAATTGACGAAGACGTTCCCACAAAAGAGGCCTATGCACAGTATCATACGCTGCTTTAATATCTAAGAAAGTAACACAATAAGGCAGAGCAGTGCGGGAAGCCCGTCGAAGGGTAGCATCTAATGCAAAAACACACTCAACACCTGAACGATTGGCCTGGAAACCAGCTTGGGCGGGATCAAGTTTACCAACATGAGCTACAAGCATAGGAAGCAGGGTACGCTCAAAGATTTTTCTATCAACATTGGTTAAAGTAATGGGGCGGTACTGACTAATATCACCAATGGAGCCCTTATTCTTCCAAACAGGTAACAACAAGCCAGCATTCCATGCAGAGGGCGACAAACCTGAACGGAAAATAGCGTTTGAAAGTTGAACAAAAAGGATAGCAACATCAGAAGCTAACGGCTTAAATAACTCAGCTGGAATATGGTTTGGGCCAGGAGCAGAGTTGTTTGAGGAAGAACGAATAGCACAAACAAAGTCACTAACACTAACTGACACAGAATCATTCAGCGCATGTAGACAAACGTGTTCTGCACTGGCAGAGGATTGTGCAAACTGAGTCTGATAAACGGAGGCAAAGTGATTGCGATAATGAGATAAAGAGGCAGGATCAGACAATAAACCACTTGCAGCTGAGCGCCGTTGATGACACCTACGCGCGGTGGAAAGAACTTTGCTAACCTCGGTTAAAGAACTAGGAGAAGAACTAAACATATTGTCGCCAGAAGCCTCTCGAGCTCGCTGAGAAAAGGACCAAGTACGAAAAGCTTTGACACGCTCACGAGATAGCCGGTCACGCTCCAAGCGGCAATACTCAACTAAAACAGGATCAGGATCATCACAGGAAGAAACAGCTAAATAGTGCTTATGAGCAAGTAAGTAGCTCCGTCGCAAGGCCACTAAATGCGGCGGCAACAATGGCAGGGCAGGGCGACGGCGAACTAAACTGGGGGGTCCAATGACACAAGCAGCACAGGAAGTAACAAAGGACAAAATAATATCCAATGCAGAGTCAATACATCCCTGTGCAACATCCACAGACATTTGGGCAAAGGCGGGAGCTTCTAAAATTGGACTGAGCGCAGCATTGACATCAGCAAGGGTGGTGTTAAAAACTAGCATATCAGACTGTTTGCTAATGGGTTATCCTTTGGGTTGTCTTTTTTCTCTTTGACCTGAGAGTTTTTTTGTCAATCCCTCTTCATTCTTATTTATGGACTTGTATTTCATGTATTTATATCCATGTTTGGCAGGTCCTGTGTGGAGTGATCTTGGCATTTAGTGGGGAATGTGGTGTGGCTTGGTCCTTTGAGTTGATGTGACCAATGTCTTTGACCACAGGTATGCCCACACGCACTGTTCACTTGAATATAGGAGTTGATGTGACCAATGTCTTTGACCACAGCATTCCCTGGTTGCCTGACCAGCTTGGGTGTAGTGTACAGCCTGTCGGAGTATTAGGCATATACACACCTGGGAGAACAGGTACTGGGCCAAGAGACGGAACCTGGAGCTGTTGTGCTAGCTACAGTACAGCTAAAGACGCCCTACCGCTGCCAGGAGAAGCCCTTGGTTTTTAACAGGTGGTGGTTTCATCCAGGAACTATTACCTTCTTGTCTCAGTCGGTGTGGACCGACACATGGAACTACAGATACGGAGGATTCTCAGGATCGATTCTCACCTCCTACGCGAACGGGTTTTGCTCCTTATGTATCTCGAGCATCCCTGGTGGTTTCAACCTTCTTTTTGCTCTGGGGACTCTGGCACACTTTTTTGAGAGGAATTCCGACAGACCATCGCTTTCCTCGCTTTCTGATGTTGCTATCTTTGCTCCTGAGCCTTTTGACCAACTTCACTACCTTTGGTCTGCTCCAGAGGTCTTCGATTTTTGATTTCGCCAATTCTTGTCTGATCGTCGCGAACAGTACCTCAGAAGAACCGTCTCATCAAGCCGGATTGATTGGTGCCCAGCTCGCGTCATTTGGCGGAGGATTCATGGAGCTACAGCATTTCGAAGCTTTCAGCTTTGATCCGTCAGTTCTCGCTGGACCACGGCAAGTGCCTATCAAAACCATCGCCTACGCATTGCGAATCGATTCGTGTATTGCTCGCTCGGTTTCGTTGGCTGCCTGCAGAGTTATGGTGACATGTCCGTATGCATGCATCATGAACTTTGTTTCCTTCAACAACTCCATTGTTTCTTGAGATGGCACCTCCATTGCCTGTGGATGCATCGCGCGCAACGCGGATACATGAAGTTTGCGGGACTTTTCTGGGCTTGGAGATTGGGGTCTACTTCACGTTGACGAGTTTCCATCAAATTCGGGCATGTGGCGCAGCACGTGACGCGTTTTGTTTCCCACGGTTGTCTTCACATAGACATCACCTTGGTTTCTGGACACAGCATACCATGAAGAGGTTTCCTTTCGATCTGTTACAGACCAACATGTGTCAACGGCTTTTGAAGAAACCACCTGCGCCAGTTGAATCTGGATTTTTTGTGTTATATACCCCTATCGTAGCTGGTGTTGCTAGTACACAAGCTTCCACTCTTTTGTCTTTGGGTTTTGTCATGGAGGATCCCTGATTTTTGCATTCATCAGCTTGCACTCTCAGTTCCTTGACACTTACCATTAGAACGTTGCTAGTTAGTCTCGTTCACCGCTTCTGCACTTGCATTGTTGTTTAGCTTTGCACCTGCGCTTTTGCTTGCGATTCCACCACACTGGGGTTTCGTATGTTATGGGCCCATTGTGGTCTACCTTGATCTTTGATCTAGAATGCCTGAAATGGTACGAGCAGAGTACTCTATCCCTTTGGTCCTTTCTAAATTTCGAAGTCAGTCATATTGGATTGGGGGTTGTGTAAGTTTAGTTGTGAACTCCACACACATTCCTTCTGTTTCTCTATCGTATGTTTTCTTTTTTGTCTTTTTTGACGAGCGATACACGGTGACCCAGTGTATCGTCTTCGAGGCGGCATCTGTTAAAAACTAGCATATCAGACTGTTTGCTAATGGGTTATCCTTTGGGTTGTCTTTTTTCTCTTTGACCTGAGAGTTTTTTTGTCAATCCCTCTTCATTCTTATTTATGGACTTGTATTTCATGTATTTATATCCATGTTTGGCAGGTCCTGTGTGGAGTGATCTTGGCATTTAGTGGGGAATGTGGTGTGGCTTGGTCCTTTGAGTTGATGTGACCAATGTCTTTGACCACAGGTATGCCCACACGCACTGTTCACTTGAATATAGGAGTTGATGTGACCAATGTCTTTGACCACAGCATTCCCTGGTTGCCTGACCAGCTTGGGTGTAGTGTACAGCCTGTCGGAGTATTAGGCATATACACACCTGGGAGAACAGGTACTGGGCCAAGAGACGGAACCTGGAGCTGTTGTGCTAGCTACAGTACAGCTAAAGACGCCCTACCGCTGCCAGGAGAAGCCCTTGGTTTTTAACAGGTGGGATCAAAAAACAAATGTCCCACATCCTCCATTGCTTGAAAGACAGCAGGTTCACGCAACAGATGAGCAGCCCAGTGCTTGTGGGGGGGTGCAGCAGAGGGAGCGCTGGCATTGGGAGGAGCAAAAGAAAAAACAGCTGTAACCGGAAAATGGTCAGAAGCCCAAGGCATAAACTCGCTGTCGGCTAGACGACTATGAACTATGTAAGAAATAGGATCACATTGAAGCAGAGGATTGACAAACAACAAATCGATTATGGAGTCACCATTGCGAGAAGAAAATGTGGGGTTATGACAGGAAGGGTGCTTAACTAGAGAGAAACTAGCGGCAGAAATAAATTGCTCAAACAACCTACCCCTACGATTTGAAGAATGATCACCAGTAGCTAAAAAACGGGCATTGAAATCGCCCAACAAAAGAACAGGGCACGGAGACAACGGGACATGTTGAGGAAGTGAAGCAATAAACTCTTCAAGGAAGGGGTCCTGAGCAATACCACACAGAGGCAAATAATACCCAACCAAAAGCCCACGAAATGTAAACCATAGAGAGGTGCCACCATAACTAGAAACGAGACGGAAATCAGAAGCTCTACAAAGACTGCGATTGATCAAGACTCCCACACCAGCCCGTCGTGTACCCGATGACCCAGGAGAAAAACGAGTGTCAAAAATCAAATCTGGAGAAGGCAGCGGGTCTAAAGGAAAAAGGTGTGTTTCAGTCAGGAGCAGAAAAACAATGTGATTTGCGCGCATAAAACGAAACAGTGAATCAAGAACTCCAAAGCTCAAATTGCGACAATTGAAGGTACCAACTCGAACACTAATCATTGACGAAGATGGGTTGAGCGAGGCTGACGAGCAATCACGCGGGCACAGTCCTGAACACTTTTGTGAGCATCCATGGATTTTTTTTTTTTTTTGAATGTTATAACATGTATTGACAATGCTTAATCAGTACATGTCACCCACGTGTACTTCAACCAAGATTTGGAATCTTCAGTACTTGGGGAGCCGTGCGAGCCGTAGGAAAGAGGAGCGAAGGCAATGGCAAATCGAAGGAGGTGTGGCGCGGTACTTGCACGTGACACGATATTGCGAGAGATATATTTCGTAGGAAATTCGAATCCAGTCCCCTATAGGATTCGAATCGCGAGTTTAGCTTCGAAAAGTCGCATTCGTACAGAGTGAGACACTATGAGGTCTTTATTGGATTTTTTTTTTTGAATGTTATAACAAGTATTGACAATGCTTAATCAGTACATGTCACCCACGTGTACTTCAACCAAGATTTGGAATCTTCAGTACTTGGGGAGCCGTGCGAGCCGTAGGAAAGAGGAGCGAAGGCAATGGCGAATCGAAGGAGGTGTGGCGCGGTACTTGCACGTGACACGATATTGCGAGAGATATATTTCGTAGGAAATTCGAATCCAGTCCCCTATAGGATTCGAACCGCGGAGTTTAGCTTCGAAAAGTCGCATTCGTACCGACTGAGCCACTATGAGGAATTTTAAGGGCTGTAGCGCAGTGGATAGCGCGTTCGACTTCGGATCGAAAGGTCGAGAGTTCGACCCTCTCCTGCCTCGTTTCATAGCTTCGTTTTTGGAGCACGAGACGTTAAGTGGCAGAACTCTTGTTGATGCGCGAATGGGCATTGCTCTGATAAATCATCAATAGTACGATTCTCTGATTTAGGAGTGGGAATGTATTTGTTTTAGAATACAACACGAAATTGGAACATTCTGAGCGTGTCAGGCAACTCATGTGTTTAAACATTAGTTTTCGGCAAATGTAACAACAATCTGAACTTGTCAGAGTTATTGTATTTTGCTCTGAGTACAGGAATGCCAACCTTAATATGAAGGCTCGCGTGAGCGGCAAACCTTTTCTAATACTAAAAAGGAGAGATCCATGGCGAATGTTTTTGTTTGCGGATACAATACGAAATTGGAACATTCTGAGCATTTCACGCAACTCATGTGTTTAAACTTCAGTTTCCGGCAAGTGTAACAGCAATCTGAACTTGTCCACGCTGCACTTATGGAGCCCATTGACTTCATTCTCCTTTGCCTCACCATGAGCTTGGCAATATGTCTGCTTGGAGTATCAATCTTCAGAATCTACTATGGGAGAACTCGCTTCAACATTGTTTTGGTGGCCTCAAGCGCACTGCTGGCCCTTCGAACAATCATTGCGGTCGTGTACTACAAGATCATGTTTTTAAACGCTCCCGCTCGATATGCGCTGCTGTTCTTCGGTCTGAATACATCTGAGGCCTTACTTTACTACCTTTATGAAAGGCGTTTGGCGGTCTTCTTCAAGCGCGGCGGGGTCATCTTTCAGTGCATCATGTATTTCCTGATCGCCACCTACGAAACTACAACATTGGCTCAGATGATCCTCTTCGGGATGAACGCGAACAATACCATCACTGGCGGTTATACTGTCTCTGGTGCGCCGACGATTGGGGTGAAGATGGCAATATACATTGAAGATGCGATCATCGGAATTGTTATTCTCATTGGAACGTTCATATCACTTGGTCGCATCATCAAGGAAAACATGAGTGCCGGAATCGAAAGCTCACTGGAAATATACAAAACGATCGTTACATCCGACGCTCTCATGTTCCTCCTTGTTTTCGCTATCGCCCTTTACAAAGCTGCAACGGCTGTGGATCCAACGGGTGCCACTGGTGCGCTTCCGTCGGGAAATTTTGGATTCCAACACCTCTTAGATACAGTGAAGAACATTCTTATGACTATAAATCTGATCTTGCCGAGCAAGATGGCCGCGGCACGAGTAAGCTCCCGATCAGCTGGAAGCAAGACTACGTCGGTGAGTGGACTAATATTTAGATCTACTGTTTTCGATAATTTTTGGTCGATCCACAGAGTCGCAATGGAGCAAGTGCTACAAAGACGGAAGTTCGAACGAAGGTCAAGACTGAAGATAATGAGACGGACAACAAGCATGTGCACAAATCGCTGTTGTGATCCGATTTTAAAAGTGCTGGTTTTTGGTTTCATGAGTTCCGAGCTGATTGCGCTTCACCTTTACAGACAGCTTGGAATCTTACAGCCGTTACTGAAAGAAGCAAATAATATTTTTTGAAGCCAATCACACAAAACCTTCGGCTGTTGCTTTTGCTCGCCGAAATTCCTCCATTATAAGAGAAGGAGGCGTCCCGCTGTCGGCTTTGCCCTTGAGCTCCTCCAACGCCTGCAAATAGAATGGGTCGAGCCAAGGATCAGTTAAAAAACACAGAGCATCATTTATCAGTTACCTTCATTGCGTTCTTGATCTCCGAACACTTTGCATAGTCCTCACGTGCGAGTGCACTATTCAATTGCTCTTGGAGCTTCGGAATGGTTCCATCCACATACCGCGACACTTCTCCAACGCCAGTAGTTCCGCGACCTGGCGGTGGAGGCGGCGGCCCCTTTCTTGCTGCAGGCGGTGGCGGGGTTGCACTAGATCGGGGAGCAACTGCAGGTAATCTGTTTGCTTGAGCGTCCGTACCTGGATACGCGCGCGGAGGCGGAATGTCTGTGTGGAAAGTCCACCTCCCATCGGTTTCAGTTGTGCTGCGGTTGCTGTCCTTTGGTGGGGCACGTGAGGGTGGTGGTGGAGGGGGTGCTCGCCGTCCCGCTGCTGCTGCGTTGGTGTTTCGAGGGGGTGCCGGGGGAGGAGAAGGTCGTGAAGATGGAACATCGCGATCCTGTTCGGATGCAAATGCCGGAACAGGTGGACGGGGAGGGGCAGGTTGGGCAGTTGTTGAGGTTCGAGGTGGGGTTGGAGGTGGGCCAGATCGTTCAGGTGGAGCCACCGCTCCTGTTCGAGCTGGGGGAGGAGGAACGTTTGCTCGCGAAGGTGGCGGCGGACCTGTCTGGCTTGGGGGTGGAATATTCGCTCGCGATGGGGCAGGAGGAGGACCTTGGTTGCTGGGTCGAGGAGGTGTTGGGCGATTGGGAGCAGGCTCCTCGGAAGAATCTAACAATCAATCAATAAAGATTAAATGATGTTGCGCCAAGGGAAATGCCCTACCGTTCTTAGGACCACCCGCAGATCGGAGTTTCGGCATACCACCAGCGAATAATCCTCCCAACTGTGGAGCACCACCACCACTGTCGCCTCCAGTTGGGCGAGAAGGGGCACCACCTCCTCCACCAGGTTTCGGGGGCATCGGCACAGGAACAGCACCACCGGCCCCTCTTCCTCCTCCGCTGGGCTTGGCTTAAGAGACAATTGAGTACAACAAGAGGGCATGAATGGAGGGAATCAACTCACAGTCGAGGATGGGAGAACTTCTGTCATTTGTAACCGTCTTCTTGAGCTTAGCACCCTTCTCGATCTGCTTGAGCAGGGCATTGGGCTTGGGAGCGGGCGGGGCACCGCCGGCAGCGGGAGGCGGGGGAGGGGGAGGGGGGGGCGGGGCGGCCATTCAGAGAGTTGTCGCAGGGAATAGCACAAAAAATGGAATGAGGTTGACGTTGGTGGGAGAATGAGACTGGGACTGGTGGGTGACTGGGACACTGCCTCAGGACTAAAAAATTGGAGGGTTTAACTCGTTACGAATGTCGACGACAGGAACCTGGAATCCCACTGCTGGTGCTACGACTCGCTTGCCGCTGTTCAATCTGCCGCAATCGCTGATAGATGCGCTGTTCAACACTACGGAGACCGCTGCCGTACGCGACGTTGCTGACAACACCCCGACGGACGAACAAATCTACGAAAAAAAGCACATCTCCTCTCCCTGGAACGCTTCGCATGGAACGGGAACTGCCACTTCATCCACTGTCTGTGCGACTTGCGGTGGGGTTGACATGGGGACGATGGGCGATTTTCGTGCCCACTGCAAAACGGACTGGCATCGGTGGAACGTACAGCGGAAAGCGAGAGGCCAACGTCCAGTAGATGAAGATGGATTCGAAGCTAAAATCGAACAAGGAAAGTCTGCTACAAACGGCCCTAAACTCGATGAAGACGATGAAATTAGCTCGATCGACGGATCCACAGATTCTGAAGAAGACGAGAGTGAAGATGACGCCGAGGCATCCAACGTTAAAGACGTCGCTTGGGAACAAAAGAATCAAACGCCCTTTATCGGCTTTCGATTTATCGCAAAAGTGGGGCAATCCGAGAAGATGAGCGAACTGTTGGTCTACAGGTCGGTTTTGTGGGGAAAGACCCCCCTGGACCCCCAGAACGTGGATGCTATTACAAAATTAAAGGAGGTCATCGGACTTCAACAAACCGCGCCTGCCTCAGCGAAGACGAAAGTTTTGTGGACAATTATTATGGTTGGATCAGGTAATAGGAATTTCTCTTTTGTGCCTATTGTGCAGGTGCTAATGCTGCAAACAAGGTCACTTTGCGGGCGCGGTCTTTGACTGCAAAACTGAGGGAGCGCTTGTACATAAGACGTTTCATCGATATACAACCCGCCGAAAGCAAGGAGGAGCTCAAAGCAGGTAAGACGTCTTCTACACGAATGAATTCTTATCTTTTTAATTGCTTATATTGTCATTCTCAGTAATGACCAGTCCAATGGAAAAGCTAAATCAGCCGGAGCTGACCTACGACGTTATAACGAACAAGCTTTGCAGGTTTGAACTGGTGCAGCTTTTATTTCTTAGTGCTGACTTTGGCGCCACTGTAACAGAGTGAGATCACCGAACGTCTTCGGGAATGGCGGCAGCTGATTGCGTCGAGCACCGTAATCTTGATTCGTGCTGCGGGGAACAGTCGGAAGAGCCTTTTCAAGTGCTCCGCAGCAACAGCATCTTCAGCAGCTCCAGCAGTTCTTGATCCATCGGACAATCGAATCAGGACAATTCCGTTTACGACGAAGCGGCCCACTTTTAACGAGTTGAAGAGGTGCCTGAAGGAGCTTACGACGGTGAGAATCCAAGATTACGTTGAAACACCAAAAGAAAGCGACAGAGGGCCGGAAATGAGATCACGCAAGAAGACTGAAGAATCGATCGTGGAATCTGGTTCACGAGCTTCAGCATCGCAGCCAAAGCTGGACAGTGTGGTTGTCAAGATCCTCGAGCTTATTGCAAAAGACAAAGTGGAACTCGTCGCCCAGCAGCTCGAGGGCATCGGCGACATCAATGCAGCGGCAACGCCAGACGGCCTTTCGTACCTCCATCACGCATCTCAATCTTCAGCTGCAGAATGTGTCACATTATTGCTGTCGAGAGGAGCCGATCCTACCATTCGCGCAGGCCCATCCAATAAGCCTCCGTATGATATCGCTAAATCCAAAGATGTGCGGGACGTTTTTCGACGTGCTATGGGTCGTAACCCAGATCAATGGGATTGGAGAGCGGCAATGGTGCCATCGCCGCTCACTGAAGAGATGGAAGAATCACAGAAGGAAAAGAACAGGCAACGGAGGAAGAAGGTGAAAGAAATGCAAAAAAGCTCAAAAGAAGAAGAGGATGCAAAAAAGAAGGCTACGGAAGAAAAGGAAGCGGAAGAACAGAGAAAGAAAGAAGAGGAAGAAAAGAAGAAACGAAGCGGAAATGGGAGAGGAAGAGGCACGGCGATGTTGAAGCTGTCAAAAACGGAGCGC